TCAGACAAAAATGCAATGTGAAGAAGTAAAAAAATATGCTTTTTTGACGAAATTAGTCAATAAATCCCTTTTTCGACACCTGTCGGACCAAAAAGTGGAGTTTTTATCACTCCTCTTATAACTTCCAGCAGGTTTGATAATCGATTGATAGCACTCTTTCAACTGATAGAGACAATATTCCTCACTTTGTTATTTTAAACCTTCCTCACAGAAGGGTGGCCGATGCGTGGCCATGCCAATATATAGTCTGTCTAATTTTTCTAATATTCATATTTCAATTAAAGCACAACCAAAAGATCTGAAATTTTTACCATGAACTATTCTCATCAAGTCCTTCATATATGCGAAGTTTCAAGTCAAAAATTCAAACTTTAATTTTTTTAAGAACTACCTATGGGAAATTGCCATGGTCCCCCTCAAGATGATGAAAAAAAATCAAAGTTTGAATTTTGACTTGAAACTTCGCATATATGAAGGACTTGATGAGAATAGTTCATGGTAAAAATTTCAGATCTTTTGCTTGTACTTTAAGGGAAATAAGGATATGAGAAAAATTAGACAGACTATATATGCTATCCCATAAAGCTTTACAAAAATAAGCTTTCACAATTTTTCACAGACATGTTCAAATGAGCTGAAATTTTGAATTTAGAGGATTTTCGGCACGCGCTTTCATCTGAAATACTTAGATTGAACATTTGACAATAAATCGTTAATCTTCACAGGGAGAATTGGATCCCAAATTTGGCCTTTCTAGTCTTGTTCAAGAAATTTTTGATATCAAGGTTCATTTGCACAAAATTCTGAAAACGTCATTCTACGCATTGTGATCTAATCTTTCAAAAGAGACTAGTCTCGATTGATTTTACGGCGCTAATTCGACCAATTGGCCTTATCTCTGGAAACACCTTTTCTAAAAATGGTATATAGTACCAAGGAAATATTGTCTTAGAGTAAGATACTTTTAATGTCACAAAAGATAGCCCATCATCGATAGTATTTACGGTAAAAAAAATTCGGTTATATCTCTTATCGTTCTCTGGAAAATGAAAATTTACTGAAAAGCAGTGCTCTAAAAGGTATACTAAATATAGCCTACCCCTTCATACTTGTAACGCGCATATCTCAAGAATGGCTCAGCCATTTGAGCTGAAATTTTCAGTTTCTTCCTAACTTTGTTAGATCTACTTACTATTAAATACCAGTCAAATCGGTGACATCGATTGAGCAAGGTTATGCTTAAAATGGTCGTGGCTTAAGTGCAATGCCTCCTAGTTATCTAAATCACTATCAAAGTGCATCAAGTTAGCTCGATGGTCTCACAAGTCAACGAAAATAGCAGATTTTCTTGATAACATTGGAAAAGCAATAAATCGTTATAAACCGACACAGTGGAATTCTGAACATCTTTTTATTAAACCAATTATTGGATTAGAAAAAAAACAATCAATGAAATTACCGACATTATTGACAATAATAAATTAAAATACAATGGTAATGATTTGATTGTATTACAAGAAGCAATTGGCATATAGGAACCATTTCTGAAATAACTACCCGTATCCAATTTGAGTCCGTTGTTACTGCAAGCCTTGTTGTGCCGTCAGTGGTGCATGTTAGCGATCATTGGAAGAATATAAAATCATATGTGCTGTATTTGAAAAAGATGTATACACAACTTGAACAATCCATTAAAAAATGATTTTCTGGTGTCGTTCAACGTTTATCTCAACAGATTGTTTCTATGGATGATCATTTTTTGGATCCAGTCTATTTTGTTTGTGCTGTCTTAAATCCTGAATTTAATTTCTATTGGTTGAGTCAAATGAATTATAAACCAGCAGTTGAATCCCATATGAAGCAATCTCTGATTCAAATGATATTGGATGAATGTGAACACAACACTAACACATCATTCGATGATATGCAGCATACACAACCATCATTTTCATCTTCTGGAATCCCTGTTGTAAATAGTTATACGACACAGTCAGTTGATATGTCAGTCATTAAAAAGTGCAAACGTTTTCAATACAACTATAATTCGGGTGCATTATTTCATTCGGCTATAAATCCTATGAATGGAATTGATGCCTATACCAATGATCCAATGCGGTCCAGATTTTCATTATACTGGAATAATTCGCAATTATATGCTTTAAAAAACGTAGTTAAACGAATATTCTCTATACAAGTATCGTCGACATCATTTGAACGAGTTTTTAGCCAAGCTGGTATCATTATGTCACCAAAACGAACAACAATGCGTAAAGAAATATTTAGAAGTTTGGTATTCTTACGTGTGAACCAGAACTTGATCAAAGTGATAGTTTAAAAACTCTCTCTTAATTTAAATACATTTATATATTTCTTTTTATGAGTTTCTTACCATCAAGTCGTTTTATTGACACATTTTGAATGATCTTTATTTTTAATATATTTTATACTTTTAAACTAAGTAGTACTCGACTAAGTATTCCTGTTTTCAGATATTTTTAAAAATGAAAGAACCAAAATAACTCAAAATGAGACGGATATTAGGATGAAGACACAAAACAAAAGATCCAAGTTTAAATTTTGACAAGGGACACTCATTAACTTGCAGTTCTAATACCACGAGAAATTGAAACTTATGATAATCACTTTAGCTTTATGAGTAACTATTAAAATTTCATTAAAGCAGAAGAATACTTCAGATACACAAAAAAGAAATTGTTTCGTATTTCAAGTAAAAGTACAAAGTATTTTTCTTTATACTTAAGTACAAGTACAAAAGTATTCATCTTGAAGTACAAGTATATGTACAAGTACATTTTTTCAAGTACAAGTAAAATACTTTTACTTTAAAAAGCACGAAAAGTCCAAGACCAAGTACTTTCGTCCGACCTTTGATCCGAATATATTCTTTTTGATTTTTGCGAACTCAATTGATATTTATGGTTTTTGCTGTGATCAACCTATGTACATTTATGAAATAAAGGAATATATGATAATTGCATTTAAAGACAATATTTTCCTTATTTTGTGATCATCAATATTTCAACAAGTGAACAATTTTGCTCCCATAAATTTTCATGTTTCTTGTTATTGTTTGCTATTTGATTAATCGAAGTTTTCTCATTGTAATTCATCTTTTTCTATGCATATTTTATGTATATATAGCACTTGTATTTGATTCTAAAATGTGACAATCACTCGACAAACTCAAGTAAAAATGAATTTGTCTGAAGTAATATCATCTGGAGAATGCGTTGCATAGTTAACATAGTTATTTGAAAATATTTGCAAAACAAGTTGATCTGTAATTTAACCCATCCTCAATACAAATATGTCTATCTGTAGTAGTTTATCAAGAAGAAATTTCTGTTTTTCTTGATTCAACCATTGAATCAAGGATTTCGACAGTTAAATAAAACTATGAGTAATCAGACAGTGCATGTACACAACAAGTTCGTCCAAATAGATACTTTTGTTTACATTAAAATGTGCGTCTAATTACAATTGGACATATTTTATTCTGAAAAAGCTTTTTAGCATTGTGGTTAATATGGCTACTCTATGTTTGTCCAAGACATTCTCACTCATTGATTCAGTTTTTATCCTAGCTACCATTTACCCCAATGGAGATTACTGATAAAGAAGCATAACTTCTAGTTCGAATACTTGTGGTAAAAATATTTGATTGGCTCATATAAAGCAAAAGTCAAAGAAAATAGATAAGATACGAATTCTACTCTATATTAATGCAACCATCTTTTTACAAGCAGTCTTTGAAATAGCTGTACTTTGCCGAAAATATAATATTTAATGAACTTAATAACAAATTACTTGTTCGAATAGAAAAGTAGAACTTCCAATCGATACACATTAGACAGATGAAACTGCAACTTTTCTTCAACAAGAATCCAGAATCTGTGTAAACTTAGATAAACAAAAAAATGCACAATCTGCTGATGTAGGTCGAAGATTGATAGGACATTGATTACTGATATAAAGGAAATTAAACTTTTGTACAAAAGATGAATTGAAAATTCAATGAAAATGCTATAAGAAGATCAAAATCATCATATGAACTGAGGCTTTTTCACTACAATAAGCTTAGCACACGAAGATATAAAGGTGAAAATGTACTGCATGCGGTTAACTATTAAATCTACTTCTATCTATATCTACTCTATACAAAACTTACAGTTGAAGCTTTAGCATTGATTCTCGAATTGACAGAAGACAACTGAATCTCCATTTATTTTCAAACTCGAATTACGCAACTCATGGCTGGGGTGGGTGTACGATAAGGCTTAGGTGAGCTTATGAATATGGACATTATGGAAGCAGTTTTGGTGTGTCGCTCTGGCGCTTCTGTCATTTACACTCACAGTCGCAAGCCAAAGCAAAAGAGATATGGCGTCTCATAGTTTCCTCAGTGCCCATGGCGAGCAAAATGCGAGATGTGTTTGAAACTTGAATTGAATTCAAATTTCAAATTCGATCTATATCATCGTTCTCTGCACTGGCAATTCAGAAAGTATTCATTTGTTGTTGTACGGTCCCAAATTCATTGAATAGTCAAAAGTAAAGAAATTATAACCGCATCATAAATTTTATTTTTGATGTTGAAACGTTTTGTTGGCAACTGTTCTCATCATCTCTCTAAATAAGACAACAAGAAAAGAACTCGCAATATATTGTTAAAAATACATGGAGAATTAAGTATATTTAAGATAAAGAAAAAGAAAATTAAGTGCTTTTATGGCTTATTCGCTATCTTGAACGGGTTTAATTTTTTATTTACTTTTTACAATCGATTAAAACTTCTTTTCTAATTTTCTTATTTTTACAGAGGATAATAAGAGTTGTTAACGCTACGTTTCAAGATCAAAGATAATATGTATCATTCGGTAATAATTCCTTTAGTTTTTATCATTTGCAGTTTTTGTAACCAATCATAAACTTTTATGAAAACTCGTTCTCTAGAATACCTTGTTCTTAGGAGCAGTAACATAACTATATAGCGTTGGCGCCAAAAATGTAGAAGAGATGTAAGAAACACCGCATTTCACGTGCTTCGACGTTGAGTTACATATATATCACCTTTTGGATGAATGAATATCTGATCTTTTATTGAAGAAAACAGCACGTATATATACCTAGGAGAGACAATAGACGAACTAGAGAAGAAGTCGAGAAACAACGTCCGTCTGTGTAGAAAATGAAGAATAGAAAGAATAGGACAATGGCTCTTCTTACTCAACAAAGACGTCAGTTAGGAAAAGTGAGTAAGTCAAAAAAGAGCATACATGTAACAGATGAATAGAAAAAGAAAAGAACAAGAACATATATACAATAGTTGAACTGAAGAGGGCAGAAGTGAAGTACTATGTAACACGTTGCTGTGAAGACACACCTGGACTCGTAAGTCGAAAGAAGTCATTAGCGTTGTCTTATACAGGATGGAATCTAAAAATTGTAAGGAGCGACGAAATACGATCGGTAACTCAATTCACAAGGTTAGTGATACTCAGATAGAAACCGAGAACGACCTGAGATTAGCACAAGCATAGCATTCCAGCAAGAACTAGTGCTAGCTCCAGCGTTGGGACCGAAGCTATGACCCACATGCATATCGCGATAGAAAGCGTCAGAACGACTCTAAGTGGCTCTAGGAGAGGCGAAAAACCCGTCTCCCGAAGTTTCTCAAGTCCGCGACCAGAGAAAGTACTGGCAATTATGCTAAAGTGGGGACTAACGCCATCCATAGGGAAAACGCTTGATGTTTCTGGGCCAGATCCTTAACGGATCTAGGCAGGATCCTTTCAGGTTGCGCTCTTTTTTATTGAGGAACCGACTAAATCCTGAAAAGAGTGTGTAGCCGCGGAACTTTAAGATCTTGGTAGGATTTGAAATAAGATTCCGTCAGGATCCTGAACAGATTACCATTGTTTTTGAATCAGAATTTGTCCAAGAAACCAATAAGCCCTAAAAGAAGTGTAGAGCCACAAAGTTTCCAGATTATGGTAGGGTTCGAAACAGGATTATATCCGAATCCTGAACAGATTACAACTGCTTGTGAATCAGGAATCATCCAGGAATCCGTTAATTTCTGAATGAAGTGTGTAGCGATGAAGTTTCAAGATCCTGGTAGGGTTCGAAACACGATTCCAACAGTATTCTGAACAGATTACCTTTGTTTTTGAATCAGAAATAATTTCAGGAACAAGATGTGGTTGTGAGTATGAATGCGGGTTGATTTTTTGTAAGTACCACGGACAGTAACTGATGAGCCATCGATCTGCTGATTTCTTGATTTTTATCTTACTCGGCTTCAGCCGCCATAGTTGACTCGATTCTTGCACCAGAATCCACATCAGATCCTGTGCAAAATTTGATAAAGTGTGGCGAGAATTCTCTCTATTATTCCTGTAAGGATTCTAAGCAGGATCATGATTGAAGCCTGGCGGGATCCTGCATTCATAATTTAGAAAAGGAATCTGGACAGGAACCTGAAGAAATCCTGAACAGATTCCTGCATAATCGTGAGAAATTCTGCGAGCAGAAATTATCAGGAATTGAACCATGATCCTGACGAATCCTTACAGGATTTCTGAAGAAATGAACAGAATTGAGACTAGATATGTTCAGTATTGAAGCCAAGCTCATAATCACTACGAGGAGCAGTAGACCCTATGATTAATATTTAAAACATATCTCGCATTGATACCAGAATCTAAATAGGGACAAAAACTGGCAGTGCTCGTAGGGTCGAGAAAAAATTGTTTTTAGAATTGTTGACAAAGTCGGAACCGTTACATAACTGATAGTGGCTCCATAATTTATATATAAGACGTACTTTGCATTTATATCAGAGTTGAGAGACGGACGAAAGCTTTCACCGGCGGCACGCTTGAGAATAAAACCATGTCGAGCGTGATACTGAGATTGGAACATGAAGGAGAACTGATAGTGACTCGTTGGTTTCCAATGAATGGGTATCCGACATGGATACTGATGTCCGTTGAGGGATAAGAACTGGCAGTCGTGCGGTGGATCAGAAAAGCAGTGTATAGCATTGATACCAAGATCGCGACTGTTACGAGAACTCATCGTGGCTCTATAATCTATATTTAAGTTGTACACTTCATTGATACTGGAGTCAGGAGAGCGATTGGAGGTGGTAGCGGTCATATGATCGAGAATCAAGCCGTGTCCAACGTTCATACCGAGATAGCAACCGTTATGAGCACTGATACTCTCTATACTCTTTTCATAGAATGAGTATTCTACAATGATACCCGTATCAACTCACAAAGAGAGCTGGCAGTTACCGTGAAGTCAAGA